ACGCACGCACGCACGCACGCACGCACGCACGCACGCACGCACGCACGCACGCACGCACACACATGGATGCACCTCCTGATTTACCGGTGCCCTCATACACACAACTTTCAGCCATGCACACACATAGAAAAACACAAGGAACCCTAAGATGACGGTGAAAAAAAAAAAAAACGTCCTCCCCCTCACGTTCTGACTAGACGGGAGGGGTGATGAATAGTCAATTAACAAATCAACATGGATTGGATAACATCGAAAAGAAGTTTACGGTGCAGGGGGCTTCGGATCCCCCAGTACCTGCCGGTGGATCTAATCTAATCTAGGTCTGGGTTAGGTCTGGGTGGGTCAGTATTTCTGTACAAACTACAGACTCCAGACGCGTATCGCAGTTAGCAAAAAGTAATAGTAGTGTCATTTGTATCGAAAGTTAAGTGAAGTTATTTCGGTGCATTACCACGTTTTGGATAGCAGCCCAGTAGAAGACTTCAAAAGGAAAATGGCAAAACAAATGAGCCAGAAGAGAAGGCAGACAATGAGACTGCGCCAGAAGAAAATTAACAAGCAAAAGAAGCACAGATCCGGGGTAAAGTCTCGAATGAATAGAGAGGAGAGCTTACAGGAGATGAAAAAGAGAAGGACCGAAAGGATGACGGAAGAGTTGGAGGTAGTAATATCGCCAGCAACATGGGGTGAGTGGACGCAGGAAGGGGAGGAGCAATTGATATCAGGGAGGAAAACTCAAGAGGAAGTGGTCGCACAAGTAGAGGCAGGGGAGGAAGAAATTCATAGTGATGGTGAGGAAACCATTATTTACATACCAGATGAGGAAGAGAATAGGGATTTAGCCCCCCCGGATTACAGCCCCATTACCTCCCCGATCAGCGATTGGGACGAGGTGATGGAGGAGGAAGAGAACCACTTACCTCCCCTGGAGGAAGGGGTAGGAACAAGGGTTCGATGGAAAGACGAGGAGGATGCTGAAGAATGGAGGAGTATGATGTCGGGACAAAACTTTGACACAAAAATGGTAGGCGATACGGGGTTCCTGGTTAGCGAGGGCTTTATGCTAGCCTTTAAAAGGAGCGAGCAGTTAGAGGAACCGGAGCAAGGAAGAGGGGCAACAATTGAAGAATTAGACGATGATGAAGCGGACGACATCATATGGATATAGCGCAGCAATGGGTAAAGAGACCCGTTTACCATGGGGATAGCCCTTGTACTAGTCCAATGAAGGGTGGGGGGATGGGGGAGGCAATGGATTAGAGTAGAGAAAGAGGGAGTATATATATAAT